CCTATACAGTTCCTTTGAAGATCAGGTTTCAGCTGTTCCAGAATCAAAGAAGAGGCCTCTTATAGAGTTATTCTTGCTTTGCAAACGATGCAAGGAGGAAGCAAATTTGGTAAAAGAAGAAATGCGTCGGCTTGAAGAATTTTACTCAAGGGAAATCCAAACCCTGAGTGATTTACATCTTCAGCAAGATGATAGTATAACGGGGAAGGATTTTAGTTGTCTTCTTCAAAGACGAAGGGCTATATTATATAATGAAATCCTCGCACTTGCAAGCCATTGGAAGGGGTGTTACACATTCCAATGTTTAGATTTAGGGAAAATATTGAAATCATCTGTAAAATATGAAGGCAGTGAACCTTGTACAGTCAGCGAGGAAGTAACAGAAGATGAGCCTTACTCATTTGATAAACCTCAAGATGATCCTTGCAATGGAGACGACGAGAATAGTAATGAATAATTAATATTTATAATGACCATATCTGCCTGGTGAGTGCGCAAGCACGAAACTCAGAGTCGCAGGGAACCACGTTCCTTTTTATCTAATCACTATACCGCTCTACACATGTGAATGAAGCACTTTTCAACGTGTTTTGCTAATAATTATTATTATTTATAATAAACAATTTTCTTTTAACAATGTCCATAATGAAGTGTCACAAAACTGAAGACGTTCCCGTAATAATACATTGCATTAAATAGTATAGTTATAATAAAGAATTAGAACGGTTCTCTTTGGATTGTCAAAAAATACTGGCTATTCTATAGTGTTTTCAGAATTAAGTATCGAAGAAGTATATAGTGTAGTTTTCATAAACCCGTAAAACAACGTGTAGTATATAAAGGGTAATACTCCTGGAATACCGTACAGGAAGACGCACAAAATAAAGAGCAATACCTTAAAGTTTATGTCACGGTTTTTTGCAAACGACTCAGTACTTTAGTCTCTAACAAAAGAAAACGTTTTCAGGGAGTGGTTTTCATAAATTTATTTATTTATTTATTTATTTATTTATTTATTTATAAGCAATATTTTACCAGGCCACCCAATTCAGCGTAGGCTGGTTTAAATGGGGGCCTGCAAACAATTTACAAGACATATTCAATGCATTACATCACATTACATAAACAGGTGAAACAATTCATAATAGAGTCGTTTTCATTTCACCGTGCACAATTRGTGACACTACTAGTTAGTATCACACTCTAAATCTAGACTATTGTTTTCTTTCGATCTTTACCAACAAGTACTAACTAAATAGTCATCATTTAACGGTGAAATGAAAACGACTCTACAACGCAAAGACTAAACAAAGAAAGACTAGTAAGAACAATAAAAGAAATAAAGTGTGATATGCTTAAATCAATGCATTTTGTTGGAAAAAAATAAACTCTATAGGGTTCAGCTGATTGACTTTAAAATTACTGGCTGAATAAATGACTGGAAGATTGATTATTCGAATGTATGATCAAAAGGATGATACAATTATATCAAGGCGTGTCGCAAAGATAATGTCATCGTCATACCTGGAACGAAAGGGATTTTGGGTTCGGGAATGCGATTACATTTTACCTAAACTTGTCTTTGCTGTAGTGCTTCATAATATCTACCAGTATTTCTTAGCAAGCTACCCCTTTTGCCGGGTCTATGACAAGAACAGGGGGGCTAGAGAGGTGCTCTGTGGTTCATGGGACACCCCCTCCCTCCCCCATGGTATTCGGTGTGTAATTCATGTCGAAAAGATAAGTGAAAACTGTATAGTTTATAATACTGTACATATAGAAAGTAATGAAAACAATCTCAAAAAGTATAAGTTTATCAGGTGTATCAATTCTCGCATCAAACACCTTGTCGGCAAATCAGTTCCCGGCAAAAGTATGGCACAGCCCCCGATCCCCTTTCTAGCTCCCAGTGTACGATTTTTGGATACGCCCCTGGTAATAATTCTTATTAATTGACTATAACCTTGTCACTATCATCGAACTAGAGCAGTCCTAGTAACATTTCGTGCTGTGCACCTAAACCTAAAGGGAAATGGAACGGTCAAAAAATCAGAATGGTTCCGGCTTTTACTATCGCATAACTGTTCACATGATTTTTCAGTTTTCGGAACTGATCATTGCCCCAACCTGCCTGGCAATTTGTACCAGTGGTTGTTCCCATCACTCGAAGCACCATTATTTTGTTATTAAGTCTTTGCGGATTGGTTTGTCTCAATGCCTCCAAACAATATCAAATACTATCAACAATCTTCAATATCCGGCTTTAATAGTAGCTTGTTTTATATCAAATATATTCTCTATGGAAACAACACATACATGCATACACTGTTAGCAAGCCAGATCGATCACGCAAACGGGACATATGTTTTTTCTTTATATGCTAGCTGAGAAGTGCAACTTCAGATGCGCATCTAGGTCCATCTAGTTCCCGCATTGGAAAAAAAATTCCAAAAATTAAAATTTTTACATTGGTTAGAAATATTATAATAGTGCGCTTTGACCTGAAGTGGCACTTTCTTTCGTCGTGAGAGGAATATCTTCCAGGATTATTCGACCCAGGAGTATGAAGGAGTACTGTCTCATTCGCGTACTAATCGCAACTGCCTCGGATATACAAATTTTTGCGTGTAGTGTTATGTCTCGCATGCAGACACGCTTAAAATTTGTAAAAATCATTATAAGTTAGTTTTCTAGAGTGGATTCTCAAGTCGAATATTTCAGATACTGAAACCGTAAGCTTATGAACGCTGCTATAACACAAATTTGCAAAATGTGAGCGATTTGAATGGGAATTTTGCTATATTTCAGTTCCATTTCCTGACGTCATGCCCCATTTAGTATAGACCGAGAGGTACTGAGTACTAAACTACTGTAAGACGTCCGGTTACGGTCAGCAGTCATATCAGTGCAGAAGTTGTGAAGAGTTCAGGTGAAGAAATATTAAACTTTAAAGATCTAAAGATGGAGAGAAAAAGCGTGTGTTCTCACGAACATAGTCAAATTATCCCATGGTAAGCAGGCTATATTATTAGACTGACATTAGTTAACAATTTTGACCGTCTTAAATGTTAAAAATAGGTTGAAAGATAACTATAAAGGCACAACAAACAACGAACGCGTCCCATGTGAAAAAAACTTTGGTTAGAGGCAAGTAACCGTCAACTGGGCATTGGTATCAAGAATGCATTTCCTGACTGCAAAAGAATGAGCAGCAACAGTATTTACTATTATTCCAATCTGGTAAAGATCACTCCAGAGCCGTCCTTGCATGATGTAGAATCAATACATGTAGATCTAGTAGAGCATACATGTACAGTTACTGGTAAGCTACTGTGTATAAGATTGTAAACCATATGTAAAGCAATAAGGTTAAATCATAATAGGAAGGCCAAACAAGAGGACAAGAAGCCTACTTAAATTGAACAGAAAAGTTAAAGGCCCTTTGAAAATTGTCCATGTGTGTSTCTTTTTTAGTCAAGCTTAGGTTCAAGTGATGTCATCACATTATTTCTTTTCTTTGCACTATCAAAACATTTCATACACAAGTGCTTGTCATTTCTCATTTACTGAGTCTTTCAAGTTGGGATATTATATGTCACAGATTACACTGTATTTTAAGAATTATCTACCTTCCAGATAGCATGCATAAGCCTGAAATATGAGTGTGAAAAGTGCATTTCAAAATTTCAATATTGTTTTCTTCTCAGTTAAACCACATATATTCAAGATTGAAAGAAAAAGTATATATTATGGAGAAGCAAAGAATGCAGTTGGCAATGGAATGTCAAGTTCAGTGTTCATCGGGAGCTATGAGGGTATCACTGTAGCAGTTAAGGAATTCAGCCTTGATTACTCCTTAACCAAGGTCCAAAGAGAAGTGTTATTCATTATAAATATGAAACCTCATGATAGCTTGCCAGTGTTTGTGGGTGTTTGTATGCAAGAGAAGCCCTATATTTTGCTSTACAAMTTTTATSGGAATGTACAAAAGCAGGTGTCAAGAACAGTTAAAACAATGCTGSAAATGGATGGTCAATTTGCTGCATGTACATGGGTCCGTCTAATCATAGATATTTCAAAGGCTGTTGCACATTTTCATGCTTCTGGTTACGTGCATGGGAGTGTTGTTGCAGAGCATATACTTATTTATTATTCAAAGAAAGACAAAAATGCCACAATACTTGGACCATACCGCATCAAATTKGTTGGAATGGGTAATCAAGCAAATAGTACTGCCAACCTTYTTCAAGAAGAAATATCCTCTCTTGGAAAGSTAATCAAGCAGATTTATGAAAGGATGGATAAGGGCCACCACTCTCTTCACAACATCATCAAGGAGGCACTAAATGAGGACAAATTGGGAACATATCCATCAGCAGACAAAATAACTAGCACATTTGCAGAATTATTAGAAWCTGGATATTTTTCATGATCTTCAAGGACCTCTTCAAATGCTAAATGTTAATATCCTTTTAATTTTTTTAATACAGTAGATAATTT